TCTTTCTGTGTCAGAAACAAGAAAGTCCCTGCTGATGATAACGAGAAGACCAATGTCCCAAATATTTATGCCATTGGTGATATCTTAGATGGAAAACTAGAACTCACCCCTGTTGCTATAGAAGCTGGCAAGCTTTTATCAAGACGGCTTTACAGAAATGACACTCTACTGGTAAAACAGGAGGGAAAATGGGAAAAAATAATCATAGACTCATTTTCATTTTCATATATCGCTTACTCAGGGTCGATGTGATTGATCGAGACAACAAAAACAACGAATTTTAGGATTACGTCAGACAGTGCATGCATATTGTTCTACTGGACATCTTCGTTTTTTGTTTTGCCTGTCTCTCTTTGTTATTTTATCAAATCACAATCATTGTTCTAGCAGTAGTGTACAACCCTAATATTACCTTATCTTAACAGACTGATTACATCAATGTACCTACAACAGTATTCACCCCCCTGGAATATGGTGCCATTGGATATTCTGAAGAGGACGCAAAAGCCAAGTTTGGCGAAGATAATATAGAAGTGTATCATCTAGAGTTCCAACCTTTGGAGTACACTGTAGCCCACAGAGAAGCTAATGCTTGTTATGCAAAGATTTTATGCAACAAAGAAGATAAGGTAAGGTTGTGAGTGGTATCCCTGTGTGTTTTTTTTTTTGTGTCATCTCGGCTTACTAGTAAACTAATTTACATGTAGTGCAGGACAAATACAATTTTCTATTTAGCATGGAGTCCTTTTTACTTGCATGAATGTGTAATTCTATAAAAACATGGCCTTGTACTTAACTTACCTTAACTTTTACTTTTTCCAGGAAAGAGTCATTGGTTTCCACTACCTTGGTCCTAATGCCGGTGAGGTAACTCAAGGCTATGCAGTGGCAATCAAGTGTGGTGCAACAAAGGCTGATTTCAGTAACACTGTGGGAATCCATCCAACGTGTTCAGAGGTAGGTATTTGGTAGGAGCTGTGAACCAACTATAGACTTCTCTGAGACAGTGCCTGCTTCTCTGGCACATATCATGATTATACATTATCAAATTCATTAATAAAACACAACGGAAAATCATCAGTCTTGATATGAGCATGAGATTTGTCCTGATTTGCATACAACTTAAACTTCAATTAAAAAAATATATATCATATTTTAGGCAGTTTTGACTTACTGTAAAATGGTGTTGGACTTGCACCAGAGCTACAAATGCTTGCAAGGGGTGTCTCACTTAAACACTAAAAATATAGCAATAATGTTTTTTTAATTTTTATTTTTTTTTTATTTATTTTTTTTTTTTTTCAACAGAACTTTACCACAATGGAAATCTCCAAAAGTTCTGGCGCTACATTTACCGTGACAGGCTGCTGAGGTTAATTCCCTACTGTTGTAGCCCATCATGTTTAAATTTAGCATGTTACTAGGGCAACAGTAGGGAGAATGACATCTTGGTCCAGTATTATGTATTGACTGTATATTTGTGCAGTTTTATGACGGCTTAGTTTCTAAACCCATCTGTTGGGTGAAACGTGCTTGATGAAATATATATATACTTTGGGAAATACATTATTTGTTTTCAGATAAAATGCAAGCATCACTTATACGTTTATGAACTTCAAAACTCTCAAAATGGTTTTCTGTGAATTGAGCTGCAAATTATAGCCCTGATGTAAGGTTTTTGATGTTGACGTACTGTAAAATTTATTAACGTTATCATCCCAGCATTCTTATTTAATTTGTATTTTGTACTCAGATATACACAATTCAGTCTAGAGTGCACCTCTTGCGTGTGGCATCAAAGCAACTTCATCAGGAGGACAAACAAAAAGATTGGGAACTAGAATCCATTGTTTTGTTCTCCAGTTGGAGATGCATTCCTACGAACTGCATTGGTTCAATAT